TACACCGCCAGCGCTCTCAAATTATTTGCAGACCCCATAGGCCACTTCTACAGCTTGCGCCGTTCTAGCTGCCGCACAAAGCTCTGCGCCCCGGCAAAGACCGTCGCTCACCGCACTCACGCTCGCTCTCTCACTCTCGCTCGCGCGCACTCGCTCTCCACAGCTGGGCCACGCCCGAAACGAAAAGACACGCTTCTCGCCGACCACTCCTTTCCGTCCCTCGACCCACGCTCTCCTCACGCCCTCCTCTACACCATATTACTCGCCTAATTTCAAACCACCCTCACACAAACCTTAAATCTGAAAGCCTTAATTCTACAAGTCCCGACAAGACTGCAGGTGAACTGCCCTGCAATATTTTGTAAACTGCGCGCGCGCATAGGCTTTCAACCTCCTAAGGATGAAGCGTGGCGCCATGTTTGCTCGCGGAGCAATATTCTTCGTACGACAACTGGTTGTACATCCTCATATATGAAACGAAGCAGCTTCATCAACAGTAGAAGTTACATCTCCATGCCCTAGTCACCTGTTCACTAAGCACTGACTTAATTTTTATGCTGTAGGCTATATGGACGCAGCGCCGGCACGGTCTAATCGATTTCCTAGGCAAGCGTCAAACATATTTGCCGGGCTGCCGTGGCATATAGCCACTCCTGCTAATTTTTACTGCTAGCGTTGCATCACTTCGTGATACAGGTGCTTTAAACTGGAGTTTGCACCCTTCCTCCCGCGGCTTCATTCCTCAAACACATTGTCCCTACGGACCAGTCTCTAATTGGCACTGCCGCCGCTCTCTACACACACATCTCTCTCTCTCTGTCTCTCTCTCGTCTCTCTTTCTTTATAGACATAGGTTTCTTTTGCTTATTGACAATTTCAATTTCAATTTGTATTTAAAATAACACGTGTTCAACGTTGTAATCTAAGAATGCGGAATTTTCCCCCATCATACAAATAAAAATAACAGTGCGCGGAGCGTACAGCGCGCTCATCTAACGTCATGACTGCGGTGACTCTGATGGTGAGTGAGTGCGCTGATTCCTAGTAAACCCTGGTTAGTCCAAATGTGTTCACATACAGCCGAAAACCAGTGGAATGCCACATGCGATGGTATCAGGAACCTTCTCAAAGAATGTTCGTTTGGATTCCTTCATGAATAGTGCACGAGATGGCGGACTTTAAGGTGGTCTTCAAGATTAAAAGATGGAAGCTCGTGAGACTCACGTACGTGAGTTAGCCAACCAACTTATTTGCAAGACAGAATATGTAGGACTCATCCGTTACCTACGCAAGCCTACAGGCTGCCATAAGAGAGCTGCCACCTGTAACCAATTGAATGCAGCAAAAAACTTACACACAGTACCACCACCACATGCACTGGTCAGTGGCCACTGGCAGTGCACTACGTGTACATGTAACATACTGACTAGTACAGAATGCCACTAGAAATTTATACGATTTAAGGAGCCGATAAACCTTCTTCAACCAAATTTAGCATGAGGGATTTTGAAATTTTCACTGTGACATTGATAGCCTCATACTATCCTCTTTAATGCAAAATTGGTATTTCCTCTCCACCCTGCCGATAAAACGTCTATATTAGAGTAAAGTTTTACAAAACATGTCGGAACGCAGCATAACCTATTTATTTCGAACGCCATGCTACAAAGCGGGTATAGCGCCATCTACTGTCACAAATTGTGATTCATTTTGGTTTATAAATTATTATTGCGATATACAGATGGCAACCGTGTGCTACCGCCTAGAAAATCTCATACGAAGTAAACACTTCCATGCAACCAATTAACCTTTGACAAAAGTTGTGTTATGGGCAAGGAAACACCATTGTCACGTGGTACATAGCAGCTACGTGGAATAAGCGTATCCTCTCAATCTTACACGTTAAACATTGGGAGCTCCGCTTTTAGGCAGTGCCTAAATCTGAATATTATAAAAACGTTATTTGTGGTGAGCTACAGTGTCATTGACACTTTCATTTACTTATGTGATTGATATTAATGAAGTATTTTTCTGTTTTGTGTTTGTTATAGTGTCCTTTTCTCGGAAAAGTCAGGTTAACATGTGCAGAGATTTTGAAAGCTAAAGGTGTTTTGGAAATAGAGGACAACGTGTTTAACTTTCTCTGGGTCACTGACTTTCCTATGTTTCTGCTCTCCGTGGAACAAGGTGGGTGTTTCACAGTCATAACCCAAGTTTTTAGAAAAATATAGAAATATGTAGTCAATGCTTCTATCGGTACATTTTCATATTTGTATATCATTACAGTCTATACTATTCCTAATGGCTTGTAAACGTTTAACTTTCTTTCTCTGCATCCATCCGTTAATTCGTCGCTCAGAAGTATTTTAAAAGTTCAGACAGGTTATACTGAGCTAAATCTATATTTGCTAGATGTGTTAATTAAAATATAACTTGTGTTGGTGTGCAATATGTGATGAAGAGGGCCAATTGGAGTCTGCTCATCATCCCTTTACATCCCCAAGAAAAGAAGATGAGCACTTGGTTTTTACCAATCCCACAAAGGTAATCATTCGATTTTATTGTATTAATATATGCATCTTTTTCTAATATCTTTTTCTAAACAAAACAGAGGTCCAATCTTTGCTTGTTCGATAAAAGATTTCATATGCTCGGATTTTCTGTATATCCCAGTAATCTGAATTATTTACCAAATGGTAATTTTCAGATTACCGTGTTTTCTTAATGCAATCGTGAGCCTCTGTTCCTCGTAGTCTATGTTTTGTCGTGAATACGGTAGGGAAGGGAAAGCGATGTATTTTAGCCCTGTTATAGAACCAGTTTTAAGACGTATTTACACATGAAGAATCTCTTAAGTCGCCCCAGTGTGCAACTATTTATGGCAGGCTCACGTGGAAGGCTTTTGAAGAAAAATGACCAGGTTTTACAAGTATAAGCTGACAGAAGACTGGCTCAATACAGATTGCAGGGTGAACTAGTGTAAACATGCCTTTGCAAGCTGTTGTGTTGCGTTATATAATTTTAGCTATGTTACAATTCGTCTGGGTGATGTGCTAGTAGTCCTAAATGTCAAATGTGGAGGGATGGGAGGTGTTGATGCTTCTAGCTTTTATAAAATTAATATAGTATGTGAAATTCATAATGATATGCACAATTGACTCTTACATATATAGTTTTTATCCAGAATTCTATCATAATACTATCAGGAGTAGATAATAGGGAACTAACAGGGTTTACTAGAATCCCACCACTCCACCACAGAGTCACCGCAGTAGACGTTAGATGAGCGCTGTCGCTCCGCGGCACTTGTTATTTTTATTTGTATGATGGGAAATCGCATCTAATTACAACGTTGAACGTGTTATTTAAATACAAATTGAAATTGAAATTGTCATAGCAAAGAAACCATGTCTATAAAGAAAGAGAGAGAGAGAGAGACAGAGAGAGAGAGATGTGTGTGTAGAGAGGGGGCAGTGCAATTAAGAGACTGGTGGTAGGAAAGTGTTTGAGGAAGAAGCCCGGGGAAGGGTGCAAATCCAGTTTAAACACCTTGTATCACGAAGTGATGCACAGATAGCATAAAAATTACAGAGTGGCTATATGCCCGGCAGCCGGCATATATCTGACGGCTGCCTTAGGAAATCGAAGACCGTGCCCGGCTGCCGGTCATATAGCCACAGCATAAAAATTAAGTCAGTGTTAGTGAGACTAGGTGACTAGGGCATGACGATGTAACTTTACTGTTGAGAGCTCTTCGTTTCATATATGAGGATTACACCAGTTCGTACGAAGAATATTGCTCTCGCGAGCAAACATGCCCACGCTTCATCTTAGGAGGTTGAAAGCCATGGCCCTCGAAGTTTACAAAATATTGCAGGGCAGTTCACCTGCATGTCTGTCGGACCTTGTAGAATTAAGGCTTTCAAAGTTTAGTTTTAAATACGATAATATGTTAAAGCTACCAACCGTTCGAACGGAAAAGTTCGGCAAAGCTTCTTTTCGGTTTGCGGCGGCCCAGCTGTGGAACAGTCTGCCCAACGATATGAGAACTACTGACTCATACAGTGTCTTCCGCAGACTTTTGCGGAGCTGGAACGGCGCAAGCTGTAAATGCTATCTCTGCAAATAATTTGAACCTGCTGTACTTTACTCTTAAAATTGTTTTTATGTTCTCTCAGCATTTCGTATGTAATATGCAACTGTGATTTTGATTTTATACAAGTCTAAAATCTATATACCGCTGAAATTTATACATTTTTATATTTGTTCTTAACCAGAATTGTTATTTACTTATGTTTGTTGGAATAATAACCCATCAGGGCTAACGTTTATTGTTTGTGATATCTGACATTAAATAAAGATTCTTGTAAAAAAATAAAGATTCTCTTGTAATTGTCAAGAGTGACAGATTGACGTAGTAACCATATAGATGTAGAACTGAGGTGGCCAAGGGTAAAACGAAGAGTGGTCATATGAGGATAGTGGCAATACTATGGTGAGAGAAAGAAAAGCAGGAGGGGTCAAGGAAGGCATATGAGTGGGATAGCAGCTAGAGAAAAATGAGAGGATCAGGTGGAGGGGGAGATTGGAGTAGAGATTAGTAGTTATAGTAGAACTTATTTAAAGATTCTTGACTTCTTTTAGCCTTCCAGCTGCTTTTAATACTTCTCTCGATTCTTCCCTTATCAAATTTTTCCCTTTTTTCATTCTCTCCTCTCTTGATGTCATTTCTTTCCTTCCTCTCCCTCCCTCCTTTCCTTCCTCCCTTAATTCCTCCTTTCAACTATCTCTCCCTTTCCTCTCTTTTTCTGTGTTACGTACCCCCCTGAATTTGCAGCCCACCCATACACCCTACATTCTTTTCATCTTCCCCCATGATTTCTCTCGACTCTATTTAACATGCAAAAGCTGGTGTCGTATTATTATTATTTTAATATTATAATATCAACATACTAAAATATATTGAAGTTGATTTTACATCTATTATTTTCTTCTTTTAGGTGTGAATAGTTTTTCATATAGAACACATCACTGCAGTGAGTTGAAACTAGCCGATGTTGGCAAGCACGTGAAACTGTGCGGTTGGGTGCAGCATCAGCGAATGGGTTTGTTTGTCACCCTCAGAGATTCACATGGTGTTACACAACTTGTTATTCCGGAAGATAAGGTAGGTCAACATTTAAGCACAATGTAAAATCCAAGCAAGGATAAATACAATATTGGGTATACTTTACCCAATTCTATTTCTAATTTGGTGAATTGAAGTAGACCGTTTTGAATTTATGGTTTTATGGAATTTCACTTAAGGTATCTCTTCAGCAAGAGCTCTCCGACTTACCACTGGAGTCGGTAATATTGGTACAGGGTGCAGTCAAGCCTAGACCTGAAGGTGAACAAAACAAGGTAACAATAATTAGGTGATGAATGAGAACATACATAATTTGTAAATTATGGCATTACTTCTATAACACAGATCAGTATTATCAATTGTCAGTATTTGTATCTTTCCACATACCCTAGGTTATTCATAGAGAAAGAAGCACAACCGATTGTAGATCTAATTATCTAGATCATCTGGTCACTGTTCACACTGAGTAATATTCTGAGAATTGTGTGTGTGTGTGTGTGCGTGCGTGCGTGCGTGCGTGCGTGCGTGTGTGCGCGTGCATGTGTGCGTGTTTTTGTCAGTTACTACATTTTGAATGTGGAAATGATTTATATCCTGTGCAAGATGAGATGTTATGACAAATTGGATCTAGTCACAAAAAGGGTTAATTGCTGTGATACACCATTATTAAATTCAAAGTGTCTGACCATCACATTGCTAGTGACGCTGATATGAAAAGAATGTGTTGAAAATAGCTATTTTCTGGTTGGATATGTTATTATTATCACCTATAATTTTGTTGCTGTTGTATTTCAGAAAATACCCACAGGAGACGTAGAGGTAGTTCTGTCCGAATTCCAACTACTGAACCCTTGCAGGCCTAATCTGCCTTTCCATATCGGTGATCACTCTCAGGTAACTCTGGCTCTAAGATAAACCTATCATGTATATGAGAATTGTATAATATTCTCTGTAGAATATTGCAGGCATTAGCATCACATGGTTGGTCTTTGTGTTAGACGTGCATAATACATATGCATTAATGCTTGTTTTAGGCAAATGAAGCCGTAAGGATGCAATATCGCTACTTAGATCTCAGAAGAACACAGATGCAGCAGCGGCTACGCATCAGGTCTGAAATGGTAATGAAGATGAGAGAATTCCTGTGCAACCAGCATGGTAAGTATGCATAGAGCGCACCATTATTAATAGTTAATCAATAAATTAACTGATGAACAAGTACTTCTTGTATTATATTGACGGTACCAAGTTGTTATAGTTATTTAATTGCTCTAAGAACGAAATGACACATTTTTAATTGCCTTGCTTCAGGATTTATCGATGTAGAGACACCAACACTCTTCAAGAGAACTCCTGGGGTATGTCACTTGATATTGGAATAACACTCAGTGGTTGTCAGTCCTATTCTTGACAAAAATTTACCAAAACGCATGATATTAGACCAGTAAGCTGAGGTCCAGTTGTGTGTAATATAGATAAATGGATGGGTATGTTGACAGACTGGCCGATATATTAGGCGATTATCGTGCATTCTGATAGGGTTCAGATATCAATTAGAAAGTACTCAATTCTTAAAACACACTGAATCTGTCCATCAAGTCCAATTTTCACAAACTTTTCTTAATCGAGAACAAAATAAATGGGGAAAAAATTAGGGGAAAACTATCTTCACTGTGATATGCTTGATTCCATCTACTGTCTTTCAATTTCCACCTATCCATGCATTAAGCGTAAATTACCTCTCTACCTAAGTTTCTGTACTCTCTATGCTGTTGCCAGGGTGCCAAGGAGTTTGTCGTTCCTACTCATTATCCAGGAAGGTTCTACTGCTTGCCACAAAGTCCGCAGCAGTTCAAGCAGCTACTAATGGTCGGTGGTATCGATAGGTACATGCAGATAGCTCGGTGCTACCGTGACGAAGGTTCGAGATCTGATCGACAACCAGAATTTACCCAGGTAGCTCCATCATTCTTGATTAGTTATTTTAAATGTTCAAATAGTTACGAAATTTTATAGTATAGCTAGTTCCAAATTCTCTATGTAATCCGCATCTTTATTCCATATGTAGATTGTAGTACTTTGCCTCAATTTATCAGTGCATATGCTGCTTTTTTTAAATATATTGCTCAACAGCTGGCGCTGAACCACATTCGGTAGCAGGAACGTTAGCACAGTAATAAAATGGATACAGCTTAAATAAAATTGATAGAACTCAGTGCACAGTGCTCTATACAACGACTTAGAAATGTTTTCAACTATAGATGGCGCAGCTAATCATCTTGTATGTGCGTTAGGATAATGTTACACATTTTTGACTAGCATTTATTTTGTGTTAACACATTCTGTTTTTTCCAGGTTGATCTTGAAATGTCTTTTATAACTCAGGAGGGGATAATGTCACTTGTTGAAGGGGCCATTGCACATTCCTGGCCAAGTATCCACAGCAAAATAGCTAAGCCTTTTCCTCGAATCAGATATGAAAATGCAATGGCTCGATATGGCACAGACAAGCCGGATACAAGGTTTGAAATGACAGTGAGTTCGTTGTGTTATCATGTGCATAATGTAGTAAATAGTATAGAAGAGATTTTCTTTCTGCAACTAATTTGCAATTCTCTATATCCAATTATTCATTAAGTTAGTACAAGAATTTGATAGATAGTGTGATTTATAAAAATGATTCACATTCTCAGCCTATTTTTGCGCGTTTCACATTGCAGATAGTTGACGTTACCGAGGATTTCAAGGAATGTCATGCATCTGTTATACAGGCACAGTTGCAGATAGATGGCGCCACAGCACAAGTTATCAATATAAGACATGGTGCAGTAAGTCTATCGGGAAATATATGTTATCAGTTTGCCAATTAAATGACAGGCTTACATTATTAGGCTTTTGAAAAATATGTTACTTTAATTCATCATTTTTCATGCTCATGTTTTATTATCGGCTTTTTTACAGGCATATATTTCCAAATCAGAGATAGAGAAATTACAGACAATGGGGAAAGAGCAATTTAGTGTACAGGTAAATTGTATTAGCCTTTGTCTTTATCTCAGAGCAACTTCTACCATGTGATGTTTGTGATATGCGTGGTTGAAAGAGTTATTCACTTAAGAAATAACTGTTGTTTGAGTAATACTAGTAGTTGTAGGTGCACTCCTATTGGTGCATCTGGTGTAATGTAATATCAGGAGTAGATAATAGGGAGGAGTGTGACATCAATAAACAAGGGAAATTCGTCATTTACTAGCCTTATAATACCTACGATTTACTACGCGTAACTCATCCAACTTGAGCTCAAATCGGACACAGTACATTCGCCCATCATCGTACGAAATCGTTTCCCTCGTAGACACCCCGTCACCCGCAATCCGTAGATACAGCCTAAAACGTATGACACGATTCTCCATTCTCTGGCCATCAATCCAACCCATTGCGCGCCTATAATTCAAACAAAAGGCAGCTACCTAACGCGCTATTGCTATCTGAGCGAGGCATGCGGCTCGCTGGGAGATTAGGCATCAACACTCGGCGAAGATAACTTTGACGGCGGTATCAGGCTCCAGCCATCACAGGCGCACCGTCTGTATCATATGCATGGTCAAGCTTCTCCACGTCAACGCACATCGCGGCGCAACCGGCATAAGATATACGCTCGTAGAGTGTTGCGTCGCAATGGTCCAAGTCGCGCCCACGAGCCAAACGCCGAACATTGCCGACATTGCCGAGAGAGGCAAACAGCAGCGACGTGCCGGCGGGGCAGTGTTGCTGCCTTTGGTCTGAATTAATAGGCGCGCATGGCGTTGGACTGATGCCAAAGAATGGAGAATCGTGGTCGTACGTTTTAGGCTGTATGCTCCGATTGCGTGTCCTAGCGGAGGAAGATCGATTTCGCAGTTGACTTGATAGGCGAATGTACTGTGTTCAAGATTTGAGCAATACAGTTGGAATGAGTTGTACGCAGGTGAGCTAAGATCGTGAGGTATTCTAGAAAGGCTTAGTATAGATGACGAATTGGGCCTTGTTGTATTGGATGTCACACTCCTCGCATATTATCCTACATCCATGGTAATTATATGTTCATGGAAGATTGTTGATTTAGACTAGATGTATTAATCGTAAATTCTTTGTTTCTGTTTCCAAGGGTTCAATATTGCCAATGAAACTAAGCCGAATCAAAGAAAAACTTTAGGCCTGGCACAACACCTATTGCCAAGTTCATCTCCCAGATGAGATACAGAATTCAGTGAATGGCTAAAGTTCAGCCCAACCAGAAGATTCTGGCTTTTGGTATCGTGCTGGAGCTTCAGATTAAAATCGTATGTTAATCATCAGCTACTAGACACGCTGGGATACGTAATTCTGATCAATTAATGGGTCATTGGATCTGTTTACTCTCAACGAACTTGTACTACATTTTTTGAGCTCACCTTGACATCGTCAAGCTGAGCTATTGCGATGGGTCGTCGTCCGTTGCCGTCCGTCTCTGCGTCCGTCGCCGTCCGTCGCCCGTGCCGTGCCGAGTGCCGTTCAAGCATTTCGCTTCGGTCCACGATAACTCAGGACTGTCTTTAACCCAGCAATTTTTGAAATTCGGTATATGGTCTGTTACTGTGAGCTATGCTCTCATCATGGTATACGTAACACATTATTTTGAGCACGCCAAGTGCGACTACTTTCGAGCCCACGGCAATTTTTTGGCAAAAATTGGGAATGCCATTAATCAGTTCATATAGGTTCGAACGGGATAGAGTTTTGCTCATGTTTTGGTATGTTGAATTGAATAATGGCCTAGGTTTTGATATTTATAAAAAAAAAATTACTGCAAATTAGATAGGTTTAGTGCAATTTGATGGCAGAAAACGCAGATACAAACAGGTGCCTGTTGTGTCAATGGTGAAGCAGCGATCGTCTGGTTTTAAGTTGCAAAGTATTTCATTGACAGATATCGTTATCTGCAGAAGATTGGTATTTCTTCTGCCACAGGCGCGCCTGACGCGATTAAAACGTCTATATTAGAGTAGTTGTAGCAAAAACATGTCGGAACGCAGGGGCATAACTATTTATTTCGAACGCACTATTGCTACAGCGGGTCTGCGCCATCTACTGTCACACAATTGTGATTCATTTTGTTTATATAAATTATTATTTGGCCGATAGTACGATGGCAACCGTGTGCTACCAGGGTCCACGAAGTGGCGAAACCGCGCCTAGAAAATCTCATACGAAGTCTAACACTTCGCATGGCCACCAATTAACCTATTGACAAAAGTTGTGTTTATGGGCTAAGGAAACACATTGTCAGTGGTTACATAGGCAGCTGACGTGGAATAAGCGTAATCTCCTTCATCTTACACGTTAACATTGGGAGGCTCCGCTTTTAGGCAGTGGCCTTAAATCTGAATATTATAAAAACGTTATTTGTGGTGAGCTACAGTGTCATTGACACTTCATTTACTATGTGATTGATATTAATGGAAGTATTTTTCTGTTTTGTGATTTGTTATAGTGTCGCTTTTATTCTCGGAAAAGTCAGGTTAATCATGTGCGCAGAGATTTTAGAAAGCTAAAACGGTGTTTTTGAAGTTAGAGGACAGCACGTGTTTAAGGCTTCTGGCTGGTCGCTGACTTTCGCTATGTTTCTGCTCTGCCGTGGAACAAGGTGGGGTGTCTTCAGCAGTGCATAACGCAAGTTTTTAGAAAAATATAGAAATAATGTAGTCAAATGCTTCTATCGGACATTTTCAATGTAATATTTGGGGGGGGGGGTATATCATTACAGTCTAGAGTACTATTCCCTAATTGGCTTGTAAAACGTTTAGCTTTCTTTGTCTGCATCCATCGTTAATTTGTCGGGCTTCAGTAAGTATTGTTAAAAAGTTAGAACCAGGTTATACTTGAGGCTAAATGCTTATATTTGCTAGATGTGTTAACTTAAAAATATAACTTGTGTTGGTGTGCAATATGTGGATGAAGAGTGGTCCAAGTTTGAGTCGTGCATCATCATCCTTTACATCCCCAAGAAAAGAAGATAAGAGGCACTTGGTTTTTACCAATGCCGACAAAGGTAATCATGTCGATTATTGTATATATATGCAATCTTTTTCGTAAAATATCTTTTGCTAAACAAATAAAGAGAGAGCGTCCAATCTTTGCTTGTTTCGATAAAGTAGTATTTCAGTAGTGCTGGATTTTCTGTATATCCGGCAGTAATCTGATATTATTTTACCAAATGGGTAATTCTTCAGATTACGCACGTGTTTTCTTATGGCAATCGTGAGCCTGATGTTCCCTCGTAGCCCCTATGTTTTGTCGTGGAATAGCGGGTAGGGAAGGGAAAGACGATGTATTTCCTTGCGCCTGTTTACGTAGAACGCTAGTTGTTGTATAGACGTATTTACACATGAGAATCTCTTAAAGTCGGCCCCTAGGCGTGCAACTATTATGGCAGCAAATACAACGTGGACACGGCTTTTGAAAGAATAAATCGACGGCAGGTTTTACAAGTATACCAGGCTGACAGAATGACTGGCTCAATACAGATTTGCAGGGGAACTTTAGTGTAAGGACTGTTGCCCTTGTTGAACAAGCTGGTTGTGTTGCGAGTTATATAATTTTATGCTATTGTTACAATTCGTCTGGGGTGATGGTGCTAGTCGTCTAAATGTTCAAAATGTGGAAGGGATGGGAGGTGTTGATCTTCTAGCTTTTAATAAATTAAGTATTATATGTGAAATTTCATAATGATATGCAAGCTAATTGACTCTACATGATATAGTATTATTATGCCAGATTCTATGCATAATAAGCTATCAGGAGTAGATAATAGGCGAGGAGTCGTGACATCAAGATTAAACAAGGTGGAAAATATTCGTCATTTTACTAGCCTTAATAATAAATCCTACGATTTACTACGTGCGACGGGCGTACTGCTCCCAACTTGAGCTCAAATCGGACACAGTAACATGTCGGCCCATGGCATCGTACGAAATCGTTTCATGCAGTAGACACCCGCGAATCCGTAGATACAGCCTTAACAGCGTACGACACGATTCTCCATTCTCTGGCCATTAATGCCAAACGCCATTGCGCGGCGCTATAGATTCAGCACAAAAGAGGCAGCTATAACCTGGCTGGTGTTGTCGTCTGCGATCGGATAGCTCGAATGTGGCGATTGTGGTCTCGGCAGGGAGATTGGAGATCGACGGCAACACTCGACGAGCTAATCATGTTTGGTTGGCGCGTGCGTGGCGTGAAGGCTATGCCAGCTATGTATCAAAGGTGGCCTGTGTACGCTGTGTACTGGCGGGGTCAAAGGTTTATCTCGGCCGGCAGTGTTGATGCCTAATCTCCCAGCGAGCCGCATGCCTCGCTCAGTTAGCAATAGCGCGTTAGGTAGCTGCCTTTTGTTTGAATTATAGGCGCGCAATGGGTTGGATTGATGGCCAGAGAATGGAGAATCGTGTCGTACGTTTTAGGCTGTATCTACGGATTGCGGGTGTCTACGAGGAAACGATTTCGTACGATGATGGGCGAATGTACTGTGTCCGATTTGAGCTCAAGTTGGATGAGTTACGTGTAGTAAATCGTAGGTATTATAAGGCTAGTAAATGACGAATTTCCCTTGTTTATTGATGTCTCACTCCTCCCTATTATCTACTCCTGATACTATCAACCACATATTGCTCGTAACTGAAAAAGAACCGCTATATATATGCATTGAAAATAACGTCCGGTTAACTCTGGATGTGGTATCACCTCACTCAGAATGCCTGCTGTGGGATGTGGAATATAATTTATCATCATATGATAGAAATTTTCCCATGCAGTAGCAGTGCATATCAAACAAAAAGGGGGTATAACCCGTGTTTCGTGTGCGAGCCGAATTTAATACACGCGTTCTTAACAAGGAAGTGCAAACAGTGCGTCAGCCAGTCAGTGTCACACAACTTAACAACCTGCTACTACCTGTGTTCGCATTCCGTGACCCTTGCGCCTCCCCTCCTACTGCTCACCAAGCGAAACTATGCAATTGAACGATAAGATGGGTGTTTGACGGTTCTAGTCTGTTGCCCGTTGTCTAACTCGGCATTTCATAGGCAACGGCCTGTTTGGTAGAAAACTGGGCCATTGAACGGCAGCGTGTCAGACTGACTTGTTCTGCATGATGATTGTTGGCATTAACTCTTGCGTAAAGAGTTCTGATGGTAATGATATATATGCAACTTGAGTTCAAGTCCCATCGTCCAGCAGTGTTAAATGTGCAGATAAGGTTCTGTGCTTAATATCGTGTGTCATCCAGGAAGAATGTGCATATGAGTTAACTTCATGCGTAGAGCGAGCTGAGGTGCAGTAAACTAAACTGTATAATGATGTGTTTGATTTACGACTATATATTTTTTATTGATTTACGGTTATATACAATATACTTACTCTAGTATGTGCGTAGTAGCGCTGAGAGGGTCTATGTCCCCCAGGGTACTGCCGGAACGTACCCTGGTACTATCTAATATGCCAGACCGTACCTCGCCTACTCCACTAACGAGTCTAGGGAGTCGCCTATGCCTACTCTCTAACCCTAACCCTAACCCTAACCCTAACCATAACCCTAACCATTTCAAATAGTTACCAGGGTACGGTCCGGTATACCGGACGTATATTACGTTCTGGCAGTACCCTGGGGGACATAGACCCTATGAGCCGTAGTAGCTGACAGCTAGTAATTATTTCTTGCTAAACGCCTCTTAAGAAAGTACAGCCGGGTCTAACGAAAGTAAAAGTACCGGGACTTGTGGTCTATACGAATGCTAATCTTCTGGTCTCACGGGCATTGCAAAGGAATTCTGGGTGCTTTATCTTGGCTGTCTTACTCACCTTACACGGCTTGTAATGGTGACAATAGTTAGCTTAGTTAGAATTATGTCCTAAGATTACGTCAAGCAATTACCATATATGAGTGAAAGGCCGAATAGGAGCTGGCTATATGCACAATCAACTATAGACCTATCGTAATATTACTTGTTCAATATGTGTAAGAAAATTTATGGTCACCATTCAAGTGGAATATAAACGGCGTATCCGTTCACTATACAATCTGCGTCTTTTGACAATGTAATTTTATGGTTACGCATGTGTGGTCATTATGCTTGTTATTAATACATCAGTACTTGTTATTATTACGCAATACGTCGTAATTTACATGTTGCTTCAACACTTCATTGAATGCCATTATGTTATTTCGTACAGAGATCTGACAGAAACAGTGTTTCAGAAAGCTTGGGTGTAGTACCTTGAACCTGTGTGCAGGACTGTGATATAACAACTGTGACAATGATTGTAAATGTCACAAATAATATAACTGTGGTTAAATGGTGATAACGGCTCGAATTGCCGACGCGTTTGGTATTAGCTTGGACTGCGGTTCCAACCCGCTCACAACGACCGCGGTAACTTCTGGGTGTGCGGACGGTAGCTCTAGAATTACAGCCCTTCGCTCTGCCACAGGCATGATCAGCATGTGACAGAGCGAAGCTAGGCTATATAGTTCTAGAGCTATATATGCCGACGGGTGCATGTCCAGGCGACTGGGCAGTAAGTAGCCCAACAGTACCAGGTGGACGGAGTCACAGTTAGCAGGAAGAGGGCGGCGGTAGATTCGTGCAAATAATTGACATTTTCGGCTCATCTAGCATATCTAATCCGTGCGACCGTGAATGGAGTTTATCACAGGTGGACAATACACCGGCACGTGGTGCCGTAGATTTAATATAGGTGCTAGAATCGGACAGGATATATGATTTATCACGAGGCGGCCATGCATTAAGCTTACGGTGGGTGTAAGCGTGATGAATGATGAGGAAATATTACCAATAACGGATTACATTCATGAACAACTGATGTTAATATGTATACTCTTTCTCTAGATGACTATGGTTGTAGCCAGAACATAATATTTACGGCAAGCCCTGTAGTGAATGCTTGGTCTACTATTTTTACTGTGGATAATTTCTTCCGCAATTCATGCCCGATACATTTTTATGTCTATAGGCCTATAGCTAGACATAAAAGCGAGTCGATGAGAGTTCAGTATCAGAAACTGGAAGTGAAAAAGTCGGTTAAAATTGTTTTTATGTGTTCTAGGGCTAGCACACACGCGTCTGTAGCATCATAAACTTGTAATTATTTAGTGGTTTTACGCCCTTATATGTTACACAGCCTTCGTGGTGTACGTACGGCATTGACTGTGTTCATGTTAAACGCCAACCACTGTCACTGAAACGATAACGCCATGCATGTAATAGTAGGTATCAGCAGTTCAGTTTGTAATAACTTTTTTTGTGGTTGCCCCCACTTAACACCAGGAAGAGAGGATGTTTGCGCGAGTGAGTGTGATCGTTCTTCAACGAATTGTAATTCTTCAGATTCGTGTTCACTTTTCCGTGAATGTATTAGGCAGACGTTCACTGAATGAACGTTATTGTACCGCAGACAACTAGCGACAATGAAAGTAGTCTAAGAATGACTCACGCGCGGTTTCCCTTTGCACTTATCTGTAAAATGGGAGTAAATTGTTACACTAGTAAAAATGTACTTTCGCATAGGAAGCACAATGGATTTCTTCTTAGCTGAACCTGGTAACTGAGTAAGTGTCCTGTACGGCGCCCAGTCATCAACAACACTAACTTGTAGTATCGACCCCTTGTTGTTGTGGCGGGAGCGCTTAGCAAGCTATTGTCAACTCACCACGGAATACATTGAATTCTTCTGTTTCCGTCAGTTAGCAGCTTGCCATCACAACCAGACAGTTGACACGCGTAGACGGATTGAAAGTTCACTGATATATCAAATGCAATAGCCCCTGTGTCCCCAAGACTGAACCCCAGCTTCGTCTTTAACGCGCGCATTTTTACCTTTTAAATAATAAAATGATAGTAAATAAACACGTTGTATTTGCTACCGAGGCTTTAATGGTATTATAATCTTAATCTTTATACTTACACGTAAATCCCGTTCAAATACCCTATGCAGCGGTTTTGCCGCATGCGCTCCAATGTGCACAAACTCACAAATGATAGATAATAATTTCTCTGTCTTTTCTAAGTTCGAACACAGTGGCATGCATGCAGTAAGATTACGTGCTCTAGACAGGTGTATTTGAACGGCATTTACGTGGAATTACAAGACGTTAGAGAGTACATAAACATTAAGACCTTTGTAGTAAATACAATTTGTGTTTATTTACTCATCATTTTGTTATTAAGACGCGCCAAGACCCTGTGCATGGCCTTTAACATTTAATATTTGTCTTTCATCAGTTGGGCCGATCCGTCATCCGATACAAGGCTCTCTCTCATTGCAGAGCAAAAGCGGTTGTTGTAAATGGGTCGTGAAAGACGCGGGTCACAGTGACACTGCAGCGGAATGCAAAACATCGCGTATAATTATGGGTCGAGTTTACTCGCGTAATTGCAATTAGAAAAGATCGTACTCATGTGTCTCGCGCTTTCTTCCTGCCACCGATCATGACACTTCCTGCAACACCGCAAACGGAAGACCATCATTGCCCTCCCTCCCCCATCCGCACCCACCCACCCCACCCCCCGTTATGAACCAGTCTGCTGTTTATACTATGAATAAATGAAAACGATTGTCGCCCGCCCGACTTCTCACTTTCGGTTCCTGCTTTTTCGCGCGCACGTTTACTTCGCACACACTGTCTGTTGACACTCGTGGTTTTTTTGCGAACAGGGAAAGCCGTTATCAGTTCGTATGGATAGTAAATATCGTATAAGCGACTATACGCAGAGATTCGTTTTCCTTCCGTTCTTTTGTGCGCTCTCCGTTCGTACTATCAGTCAGTTGCCGGTTGATTTTGTTTGCGCATGTAATCGTGTAGTTAGATGTAAGGGTGATCACTCTTACTTGTAGAGTTAATACGATATTATATACATTTAAACTCTGGGCCCATGAATGAACGTGGAAGATATGTTTGTCAATCATCTTAAAGTGATTACGTCACCGTAAATACTTTTTAAAAAAATCCACTTTTTCACAAAATATAAGTGATTCTGTTCACTTTTTATGGTTAAATTGCTGCATTATACTTCTTATTTTACTATATTGTTCGATGTGAACATACACTCGTGACTCATACATAGCCCATAGCAAGCAATTAATGTTATGAACACTAATATCAAATCGTCCAGGTTTTTTGGATTTTTAGCTAGTTGAGAAACAATCTTATCAGGTAAGAATTTGACGATACGTTTAGTCCCGTTAGGCTTGCTTGTAAAAAAATGGCAATAAACATTTGACAAATTTTACCATAGAAAATTCGTGACGTAGTCACTTTAATTGATGCAATTGAATGAAGTTTCTGTTTTAAAAGGTATTCGTGCTACCCATTTAAATATCTTGAACTACAGCAACATTTTACGTATACGGTAATGCTTTTACAACATAATGTAAAAATAATAAATTCACCACCATACTTGTTATTTATCAGTTGTACGCAAAGCGCAGCACGGCTAACGTATTTAGGCAATGCGACTTTGCATGCCAGTTGTCAATAACAGCTCAAGCGATGGGTTAACGAACGTTCACCGTGCTAGATCAACCAAGCGGTAAAAAATCTTTTACGCTATACGCTCCATAAAAAAATAACTCAACGGCAGTGTCGGGAATGTACCTAGTAAAAAAACGGATACAGGAATATTGACTCTACCATTTCATATGGGTGTATATGGTATGGGAAATGTACCCAAACTTGTCACTTTTCAGAGACTGGTCTATGTAACGGCGTACGTGCTTTGAAAACAGTAATCAAACAATAAACTTCATTTTACTATAAATCAGCCGTGTTGCCTCAAATTTTCTACAAAAAAAAATTAATCCCCAAACATTTTAGCTCTTTCTGAGCATGCGCCAATTATGGTCCGTTTTAAATGAATTTAATCATCATTTACCCATATTATATCGTGTATGTTTAGGCGCATAGCCAGCATTATGATCTCGTCTTGAATGGCCAGGAGATTGGTGGCGGCTCCATACGTATCCATGACGCATGCTTACAACGGTATATCCTAGAGGAAGTGCTACAGGTACTGAAACCGATTACTAGTTGCTTCGTAATATCATGTAATGACATGTAGTATGGTCTAATTTAATTATTATCATTGATGTTACTAGGTATAGTGTGCTAACTGTGTTATGATAGAATATAAAACAAAATATTGACCAATTTCCGTATTTTATCATTTAAAATTCATTGATGTTCTAAGTATTTTTTGGCATTTTCTTCTTTCATAGTAATTTGAGCATTATGTAATTTAGTTGTGTGTAATCACATATATGTTATAAAGAGGTCATTACATGTGCTGTTATAGTTCAGCTCTATCTCTATGACAGGAACGTTCAAGTGAGTTGGCACACTTACTGGAGGCTCTGGAAATGGGGTGCCCTCCCCATGGAGGCATAGCACTAGGTATGCCCAGTATTGCTAATAAGCACATAACCGATATTTCTTTCTAGAAGCCCATGCAATCAGATGATAAAGTGTTAAGCTGATCTGCTCGTTGAAGAATTCACAGATTCCGTAATGCACGGTCCGTTTTACAGGTTTGGATCGGCTAGTCGCAATTGCCTGTGGAACGGATACCATCCGGAATGTGATTGCCTTCCCGAAGACTGGCGATGGCAAATGTGCGATGAGTGGTGCACCTGCTGAACTAGAACCTAGAGAGCTAGAGCGATACCACATAAAGGTGAAATCTTGATTCGTTAACAGTGTACAAGTTTAGCTGATATTGACCACCAATGGTGAAAACCTACTGATAAACTCATGGTGATAGCATTCGCTGATAAACCAATGGTGACAACATACTGATAAACTCGTGGTGATAGCATAGTGATAAACCAATGGTGACAGCATTTACTGCTAAACCAATGGTGACAGTGTCCTTATAAGCCAATGGTGACAGTGTCCTTATAAACTAATGGTGACAGTGTATCGATAAACCAATGGTGACAGTGTATCGATAAACCAATGGTGACAGTGTATCGATAAACCAATGGTGACAGTTTACTGGTAAACTCCGGCTGACAATGGGCAGATAAATGTTGACATTGTTTTCACCTGTTGGTGATGGTTTTTTGGCCATGCTGACTGAGACATCTTGACACACTAGGTGGTAACCCTCTAAGCAGAGAGTGATCTGAGATGTTGTGCGAGGGTGCGTTATGCGAGAAGGCATAGTTAAATATGTTGTGCTGTAGTTGACTAATACGATTCACTGGTTGAGCGTTGACACTGAGAGGGTATGTCATCTTATTACACTATAGTTTGTAATTGTAAGTAAAAAGTAATCTATATTTTCAAGTTATGACGATGACTACTGCATTTTGTTTGTTTGTTGTTAGGGTGACCTTGAAGTCATTAAACAGTGTAAAATTTAAAATGTCTTTTTTTATTAAATACTAGCCTCGTTCACACGAGACCTCGTATTTATGAAATACGAACCTCGTTCACACGAGACCTCGTATTTATGAAATACGGTATTTGCGAAATACCGAATCTGAGACAAATACGCGGCCGAGCGTTCACACGCTGATTCGCGGCTCCAGAAATACGGTATTTGCGAAATACCGAATCTGAGACAAATACGCGGCCGAGCGTTCACACGCTGATTCGCGGCTCAAGAAATACGGTATTTGCGAGCCGCGAGCTGCTTTAAACAATCAAGCGAACAATGCGAAATAAACAATGCAATGCACACCAACTGCCGATAAAATACGTAGACTGGTCCGCGCTCGACAGTTCCACTCGCGTTACACTGGAACTGTCGAGCGCGGACCGGTCTATAAAATACGCGGCTTCAGAAATCCGGTATTTAGCGTTCACACGAGGAAATGCGCGGTCCAAGAAATCCGGTATTTCTCAAGCACGGCAAATTATTCGGGGTCTGGGAAGCCTCGTATTTACATGAAATACCGGATCTGTTTAGATACCGTATTTCTTGGGCCTCGTATTTTGCCTCGTGTGAATGCTAAATATCGGATTTCTTGCAACGCGGCTAATGACAATAGCACCTGCACACCTGCTAAATAGACTCAATATGATATGCCTTTATATTATTAGACTATTATTTTATTATATACTCTATACTTTATTATCAAATCACTATTAGTTATCATACAGGCTGTCATTGTCGCATAGTGTTACAGTACACGCATTGAAAACGGAATTCATACCCCCAAATTATTTCAGCCTATAATACTTCTACTGTTCCTTTGAGTAAAAAGCACATTTGCAACCAGGAAGCCAGTGATATGACACGAAAAGTGCTACATTATGTTACTGTTCTTCCACCTGGTGTTGACGCCCGAAAATAGTCGCTCAATTTGCTTGTAAGCGGATTTGGTTCTAGTATCACACTCTATGCTCTGTGGTGCTGGTAGCCAACCTTATGGTTGACTAAAAGAACACTTTGTTGGAATTGATTTTGGGATAGCAATTCTAGTAATTGTATAATGTGCAACAACTGTCTGTCCATACGATTTGTCCGCGCAGTAGACATGTGTCACATAGTCCTATCCGTGATGCCACGCTATTTGACCATATATGGCACTTAGGCATTTAGCATTTATTTATGGCATTTAGGCACATTTTCTACGGCTTTATCATTACCATTTCGGTGCACACTGCGTGGGTTCCGGATGACCACGGAATAAATTTGTCAAGTCGAAATCTGACATGTAATGGGTTAGATACGCCTGTTGATCTCTGTCTGCGAGTCGCGTTACTATCATCGGTATAGTTTCAGCCACGTCTGTTGGCTATTACTAGCTATATCGTAGCCACGGCTGTTGGCTATTACTAGCTATATCGCAGCCACGGCTGTTGGCTATTACTAGCTATATCGCAGCCACGGCTGTTGGCTATTACTAGCTATATCGCAGCCACTCTTGCTGCCCATCAGCTGTGGTTCCACGCTCCCTGCCTTCCCCCCGGCTCCCCATCACAGAGTTCACAAATGTGTGTCATCGTTTAGATCACGCGCGCGTGACTGAGTACAGTTCATATATTTGAGTTTGACTCTCATTCGAATACTATAGCGGCCATGTTGTAGGTAATCTTATTAGCATTAATTCGTGTAGGGTCAAGTGTAACATTTACTCATTGTTAAAAGAAGAATTCGAAATTTAGACTTAAAAATACTGGTGCGTCATCTTATATCCGTCCTTTCACAAAGTATTTGTGTTTGATGTTCATGCAATAATATAGGTCTGAGTATATAAAACCGTACTCATTCTTTGCAGAATGACGGAGACCTTGCCGCATGACATTGGGAATATCGGGGGAGGTTTTGGTTATTTTCTCTACCGTTAAAGTTCAGTTCCTCGCCATTATATCTTTGAAATTATCGTATATATGTTGAACATGCGTATTTGACATTAGGTATATATTTAATATACTTGGGTTTATCATAATAAAGACTCAGATACCAATGCTGAACGACGGTAGCTTAATTGCCGTTATGCACAGCCTAGAGCTACACGCAATCTACACTAACTAGAACCCATAATCATACACGCCCCTCTCACTTCTCACCTCCCCCACTCAGCTCTATACAGAGCCATGGCTAAACTAGTCCTCATCGTCGTCATTTTTGAGTTTCCGCTGATGTCAAACTGCAAATTACTGTCCTCGCGTCGCAGTAATCGCTGTTTGCGACAGGACATTGGTCAGCCTATTAGCGACTCGCGATGTTTGACGTCCAGGAAGTTGACACGTGCCAGTTGACAATGACACAAGGCTAGGAAATAGTTTGCGCTGCGCCATAACTCACACTTTTATCATTTCATATTCGCTACCTCACCGGCTATGTTGTGGGGGAAAACGCTTCCTGATTTGACGGAGTTTTTCACTATAACGGCTATAACCTAATCATGTTTCGAATGATTACATTTATACCATGCGAGTATATTTCGAACGGTTGATGAGATCAATGATAATCGCAGTCATCATAATCAGAGAGTTAGCATAATGGCGTCGAAATAAACGATGAAACGTAGAACGAATAAAGAATAACGAAGAAAGGATTTTCGATCATCCTCGCATTATGTTTTACGATGAGACCGGTAGATAAAGATTAAGCTGAACCTTTCCGCTTATTATGTATGGGTATAAGTAATGGGCTCATCTGTAGGTGGTGCACTGATACCATTGCACAGCGACATGGAAATGGATGAATTAGCAAAGACAAAACAAGTGCGTATTTCTGTAACATAATAGCAACAATGAAGCTCAGCACGCGTGCTAGATTTGTGATTATAGTTGACTTAGAGCTAATAATATATGTGTCGGTCGATCTCTCGTCTGCATAACACACCCTCGTAGTTTGTTCATGACCTTGATGCGCATGCGACAGTAACTGTCACGTTCTAATTAGGAAGTGTCACACACAATCTCTTATTACGAGTGACCTACAAGTCTGTATACTGGCGTCAGCCTAGCATCCCCCGTTACCGACAGACACGCCGGCCACGAGGCCTACATAGATACAATGTAACATAGGCCTATACACACGCGCGCGCGCACGCACGCACGCACACACCCGCGCTTACACACACACGCACACATGCACACAAACACACGCGCGCGCAAGCACGTACACGCACACACACGCATACACACACGCACACGCACACACACACACACACACACACACACACACACACACACACACACACACACACAC